CGGCCGAACCCCCGGCCCCCCGGCATCGCAGCCCTGCTGCCGGCCCGGCCCTCAGAGGGTTAAGGCGGGCTCCCATGATGCCTCGCGGCCCTGCAACGTCGCCGGCCGCGGCGGGGGCAGCGGCTGCGCCGTGAGGCGCCGGGCGGGACCGGCGCTGGCTGCCGCGTCAGGGACCGCCGGTGCGTTACCGGTTCCCTTCATCTTCCTCCCCCTTTTCCTTCTTTGCTTTCCTCCCTCCCTCTTTCGGGGCGGTACGTCCCTTTCCCGGTTAGACCCAGCCCCCGGTTCTTCCCCCGCCCTGGGCTGTCACACAGGACGGTCCCTGAGGGAAGGTGCCCGGTTGGCGTGGCAGAGGCCTGAACTTCTCATCACCGCCTTCCCCCCCATTTTATCTCTTTATTTTTTCTTTCCTAGAGAGGAGAGAGCGGTGAGTTGGCCGGGAGTCGGGCCATGTTCTGAGGGAGGCCTCCAGGACTCAAGCTCGGATCTGGACACCCCCAGGTGTGCCTGAAGAAATCGCCCTCCTCGTCCCTTCTGGAGCTCTGGGTAAGGCGGCTGTGCTTCTGTGTAGGCAAAACTGCAGGGCTTTAAAAGTATTCAACAGTCTGTGATAGATATTTCAAAGTGAACCTAGCCTTCTCTATGAAGACGGGTTCACGTTTGGTTCACAGTGTTCCTTCAGCTGACGAGGCCTCTGTGGCTTTTCTGCCCAGGCCAGACCCCCAGGGAGCCCTCAGGACCATGGTATCACACAGACCACGTCACCCCTGTCATCGTCATACGCTCCTCGCAGGCTGGCTGTGTGAATTTGCTGCTACATCAGAGGAGCAAAGTCCTCTTACAGCTCATTTTCACTTTCAGGTGGCACTTCTGCCTGTTAGCTTGATTTTAGCAAGCAAACTCCTATGATGCATGTCCTGTTTTTGCTCTTGAAATAGATTGTTTGGGAAGTAAGACTCTGAGATTGGTCTGTGTGAAGCTGTCTCTTTCCACCTTGGAACCCTTAGTCAAAAATATTTGTATTCTTCAATGAAACTTTATTCCTAAACTAAACATTTTCTTTACCCTTCATGTCCATTTACATCGGATCAAAACAGTGCGCGTTTATTTAAGGTGTCTGCACAGTTGTTATTTCAGTATTTACTCCTGAAACTTAGCACGGTGCCTCTGTGTCCAGTCAGCTCAGCTTCTGGATAGTAAACAATGATAATTTGATGACTTACAACTTTGAGGGCAAACATAGTTGAAAACAGACTAGGCACCCCTAAAAACATCACCTATTAGAAAGCTTAGAGTGTGGCTCTTTGTCCTTGTCTCCCTTTCCTTTATTTCCATGTGATTTGGTGGGGGAGAAAAAGGTGAGAAGCCTGTCGGCCTGAGTTGCCTCCCTCTTTTCTTGGATGACGTGGTGTGGATGAAGCTCTGCCTTCCCACCACGCAGATGTGGTGGTTTGGTCAGGGAACTTGGTGCTTCTGGAATGGACATGTGTTCAGATTGCAGTTGGCTGAAGTCTTTCTTTTACAAAGTTTTTATCAAAAAAAAAAAAAAAAAAGGCAGTTATGGCAGACCTAAAGGCAGTAGCTTCCTCTGTCAGCTTGGAGTTGGAGATGTGAAACTCATACTGTATGTATGCACGGACATGGTGTGGATATTGGCTGTTGTGGGGTGGGTGTTTCTTTCTGCTCTATAGAAAATTCCTGGCTCATGTGGAATTGGAGTGGGAAAAGGCTTTCCTGTTCAGCTCCAGCAATGATCATTTGCCATTGAGGCTGGAAGCCTTTGCATATAGGAGAATTGGAATTCAGTGGTTTAGGTTGCAAACTCTTTCACAGAGATGTGCTTGTAAGGTCCTGAGCATTGGATATGACTTAGGTTTTGGCTTTTCTTTTTCTCCCTTTGTAGAATCATGGCAAGTCCAAGAACAAGGAAAGTTCTCAAGGAAGTCCGAGCACAAGATGAGAATAATGTAAGAAAATTACAATCATCTTTAGTTTTGTAGAATTGAATTTTCTTTTTACCTACTCCAGATGTATGTTGTGGTCTGCTACAGCTGTTGTCTTTATAGCACTAGTATGGCGAACTAATGGCAATGTATAAATTTGGATATCGCTTATTTATGTTAGTTCCAGTAACTATTATTCATATAATGTATTATAATACGTTGCTGCATATTTGGCACTAATCTTTCAGAAGTTCTCGTAATGCTGTAACCCCTGAGTCTGTGGAGCAAGGGGTGTCTTGGGCACAGCTTAATTAAAATGGTCTATTTCAAGTAGCTTGATTATATACTGTCTAAAATGTCATAGCCCATGGACAGGTTTGTTTTTGTTTATGTCAATGCATTAAACCTCGAATGGTGATTCCAGTCATAAGAACTTAAATTGTTGCATTGTATGAGCAATGAAGTTATTTTTAAGAAAAGCCTCTGTTTAGATCTGCTATCACTTACTGCCAAACTGTAGTTTGACTGAATAAATGTTCCAAACTTAAAATGTTGCGTCTTTATTTTGCCAAGGAAACCTCAAGAATTCAGTTTGGTTGCTTTCTCTTCCTTCAACATAATATGAAAAAGAAGTCAAGTTGAATTCTTTGTTCGTTAATTTCGACTTGCTCATCTGTATTTCCTCATGGGTTTTTGGTACTCGGTACAGTAATTTTTATAATCCAAGTCAGGCAAGTTAATGAGTATTTCTTTCCACGCAGCATAAATAAATATTTGAAAGAAGCTTATGCTGTCAGGGAAGGTGTTTCTAAACACTAAGAGCTCTCCCTTCTAAAATTATTTTCTTTGTGTAACGTTTTCATGGTTTGACTTTTTGAGCAGTACTGTGAAAACTTCACACGGACAAGTGATGATGGAGTGTTAGAGATAATTGTGGTTTTTTTTCCTCACAGGTCTGTTTTGAATGTGGTGCATTTAACCCCCAGTGGGTGAGTGTGACCTATGGAATTTGGATCTGTCTTGAGTGCTCAGGAAAACACCGAGGCTTGGGAGTTCACCTCAGGTCAGTCTTTCCAGCAGGCAATGGACTGAGTTGGGTTATCTCAGGGTGCTTTATGGCTGTGAACAGAACATATTGTTTCGGAAGGGTACAGAATGTCTCAATTCCAACATTTCACTATCAGTTTTATTTCTTGCTCTTCTCCAAAGTGAGCTTTACTCTCCGTGCCTCATCTGTAATTAGTTGGGGCGTGTGCTAATCCTGCCTATCAGTTTTATTTCTTGCTCTTCTCCAAATTGAGCTTTACTCTCTGTGCCTCGTCTGTAATTAGTTGGGGTGTGTGCTGCACCAGTGCAGTTATGTTATGCCCAGTTCTAGAAGGCAACGTACCTAGCTACATCTTGAGATTGTGCAGTAGTTTTTTGGTAATCTTGTACTGGTCCTTGTACTCTATTCTTTTAATCTTATATAATTTTTATCAATTTTATCAATTAAAACTCAAGTAGTGCTAGTCCCTGCTGACCTAGTAGGAAATCATAACAAGCTGTGAATTTAATTTACATATTTTTTTTTAAACTGCTTTTTAGTTTTGTACGTTCTGTAACTATGGACAAATGGAAGGATATTGAGCTGGAGAAAATGAAGGCTGGAGGTAATAGCAAATTTCGAGAGTTCTTGGAATCTCAAGATGACTATGATCCCTGCTGGTCGATGCAAGAGAAGTACAACAGCAAAGCTGCGGCTCTTTTTAGAGATCAGGTAAGTTAATTCTGTGTGTGTTCTCCTCCCCTGATATCTGAAAGTACCAAAGTACTTTGTAAGCACTAGTTTTTGAAGGGGGGAGAGGGAAGATAGCAAGCTTTTGAATCTCTGCAATGGTTCTTGAAAGGTGTAAGTCTTAGAGTACTTCTTTCCAGTTCTTGTAAGAATTTTCTTTAGAAGCTGTTCTGCCTTTAGCTGAGGTGGCTCAGATTTTTGTTGCTGCAATTTGTTGCAACTGGTGAGTCAGTGGAGCTGTCCCAGTCCATACTGGACAGTTTACTACTTCAGCAGCACCGTTTCATCCAAAGTGATTGTTGGTAAGTCTTTTGTGTTGCTAGTAACAAGATGACAAATTAATTTTGGCAAGCCTATAAACAACAAAGTGATTGTTGGTAAGTCTTTTGTGTTGGTAGTAACAAGATGGCAAATTAATTTGCCAAATACTGGCAAGCCTATAAACAGATAAATTAGGAATTTTAATGGCATTATCATTTTGTGGAGGTTTTGGAATTTCCAAAAATGAAATTATAAACAGCTTGAACTTGTGAACTTAGAGATTTACAAGGGTACTATATTTTTATGCTGACCCTGCCACGGAGGTGGTAAGAAGGTACTTTCTGTGCTCATTGGGATATCCATGTGGCTTTGAAGTTTGTTGTGTGTGGTGTCTCTGTGCATCTTTAGAAGTTGCTGGGAATAGGAGACTCTTGGCTAAAGTGGAATATCTTGATGAAAGCAAAGAATTTGGAAGTTCTGTGCTGTAGGCTTTCTGGTATGTCAAACAGGGAACTACGGAGTTTCAGTGGCAAGGCCTTTGGAAATTTTATGTTAACTTGTTGAAGTTATTACTTGGTTTGGAGGAGCGGTACAGGGTGAAGAGATGAAGTTCAGTCCTTTGTTTGAAGGAGGCAGAGAGAACATTTAAACTCTGTGTAGGTGTTTTAGCCACCCTACGCTAGAATATAAATCCAGCTCCTCCTATTTCTCCATTATTCTGTGATTAGTGCTTACATTTCTTTATAAATCTAGTCTTTCCTCTTCAAACCAAATTTGCCTGTTGGAAGTTGCCTGAAAGCAGTTGCCTGAAATAAAACCAATGTTCAATTCAACATTACTAGCCTGAGATTCAGAAAAAAAAAAACAGTTTCTTGTGAAAATACAAATGAATTGATCTATGTAGCTGGTAGGAAATCGGGAAAATGACTTGTCCTCACTTTACAGGACCAGCAGATGACTTCTGTGAAAACTGTGACTTAGCATTCTGATTATTTCCCTACCTCTTCCAGGTAGCTACAGTAGCTGAAGGCAAGGAGTGGTCCATTGAAACTTCTCCTGCCAGGAACTGGACCCCACCTCAGCCTAAAACATCTCTCTCTTCCACTCATCGGTGTGTATTCTTGTTACCTAATGTTGATACAGAATCAGCAGGATCAAAACCCGATGTTTAAGTGTCCACTGGTTTTATTCTGTTGATGGCGTCTAGAGAAGCATTTCTCTTGCTGAAGTTAAGTCATATGAGGTAGCAGGGCTTTAATTTCTGTAATAATTCCTACCTCCTCCACCTAACTGTGGCAGAGACAAGTGAGCAAGAGCAGAGGACAAGCCATGCTGTTTTTATCTTGGCTTGTAACGCACCTGAGAGTAGTCATTGTGTCAATCACACGTAGCGTATCGTGGTGCTGGTCTGGTTCCTGATTGAATGCATGGGAAGAAGAAACAGACTTTTTCCTTATGGGGCTAATTACTAATGGGAGCATGAAAGCTGGACCGCAGCAGGGTTTGTTGTTTGGTTTTTTTTTCCTGCTTTTACATGTAGTGTTTGTTATTTTTTGCACTAAAGAATCAAGTTAACTGAAAAAACAATTGTAAATCAAGCGAAGAAGCATTTCATGCCTGGCCATCGTCCAGCAAGTTCGGGTCTAGTGTAGTCTGAGGAGCATTGTCTGCGTCTGGGTCTACTCTTGCGTTATTCATTCAATACTCCAGTGGCTTTTAGTGGTTGCATTAGAGTTCCCTACTTGACAGACGAAAGAAATAATCAATTTTGCACCTGTATTAGGATGATACATGGCAAGCTGCGCTGCTGAGCTAGTGGGTTTTGCTTTACGCAGTTTGATTCTTAAATCTTTCATTTCAGTGGTTCTGCTGGACAATCTCAGACTGCAACTGCCTCTTCTGACAAGGCTTTTGAAGACTGGTTAAATGATGATGTCAACTCCTACCAAGGGTAATACAATATTTATTAACTTTTTGAGTGCCTGGACCTCTAGAATAGCAAAGACCAGGATGTTATACTACAGCTGCACAACTGTGATCCTGAATCGCTAGTGAACAGTGACATCTCCTTTACTATTCAAGTATTTTGATAACATATGATGAAGGGTAAGAGGAAGGAAAGTGCCTCTTAATGTAATTGTGTAACAAAAATGTTTGAATAGGAGTGAAGAAAGAGCTTCTAACTCAAAATGTCACTGTGGTGGACTCCAGACTAGGGATGTTTTAGTGTATATAGTATCTTATAGTGATTTGAGTTAAACAGGGGTATTTCTAAAGCTAACACTGTTTTCTTCTTTCTTTCCTTTTCCCATTTTCATGTATCACTTTATTAGGATTTACTCAGACTTGTGATATCAGTGACCTGTTAAACCCAGAGGGTCTTTAAGAGCACATTAGCTTGCGTAGGGGACACTTTATTTTGCAAGGATTCACCAGTGGATCCTTGTTGGTATGTCTTTATGAAGTGAGTGGTTTTGTGTTTTGGGTGGTAGGTGCTTTAGGACTTTTTTTTGAGGTGTCTTTTAAAGTTTGTTAAACAATTGTCATTCTTACATGCTTTTCAGTTCTTGTTTAATGGTTTAAATGAAGGCATGCTGATACAGACACTATTTATTTATTTTCTTATGGTAGTGGCCAAGAGAATCGTTATGTGGGGTTTGGAAACACAGTAAACCCTCCAAAAAAAGAGGATGACTTCCTGAATAATGCTATGTCTTCATTGTACTCGGTAAGGAAATGCTTGAAGCTTTCTGTGTCCTGAATTACTATTTTCCTCTATTTTATCCCCTGTTATGTGAATATAAACAGGGAAGAGAAACTAAAGACTGCAAGTAGAATCAGAGGGATGTAGAGAGTTGGTTGTATTTTCAAAGAGCAAGGAAGATACTGGTGGACTTTAAAAGGCAGAACAAAAGGAGAAACTCTGAGAAAATTTAGGAATTATGCCTGGTATCAGTTCCTAGAAATAAGGAAATGAGGATAATGGATTAAGAGCTAGTACTCAACAGGACTTGGGGGGAAAAAAAAAAAGGTAATTACCTGTTGACAATAGCAGTTAGGCTGGTGATGCTCTAAACAGATTAACTGTATTAGGGAAACAACTGAAGTGTGTGTGTACATACATGGGTGCCAGAAGCCCTGAGCAGCAATGGAAACATTTGAAATACTTGTGACAGGGTGAGAAGAGATAACAGCATATGGTTGAACAGTTGTCATGATTAAAGTAGAGATAGTGAAAGATGCATTGTTGAAGGAAAATGGGAATAAAGTTGGAGGCAGTCAGGGACATATTGGTAATTTGATAGGCTGCAAAGTAAAAGCACTCAACAATATTTGGGATTCAGAGACACTTTGAAATACAGTAAGGTTTTCTACCAGGATTAGTGTCTAGTAGTCTGCAAAGTAAAAGCACTCAACAATATTTGGAATTCAGAGACACTTTGAAATACAGAAAGGTTTCTACCAGGATTAGTGTCTAGTAGCCTCCTGTAGAGCCTCATCGGTCTAAATATCTACACAAGGTTCCATTGTTTGTTTTAAAAAATATATAATAATTTCACTAGAACATCATAGAAAAAGGCAATGCCTGAGCCTTTGAACGGGTTCTAGGTGATCCCACAGGGTGCTTAATACAGGTCTGCTGAATATTTTCTAGGTATGTCATAGATTGTAGACCAGAAAGTTCAGGTTAGAAACCACCTCTGTAATGTACTGCAGATGTGCTGAGACAGCACAGGAGAGATGACACCGGTATCCAGGTTACTGTCAACCATTATTTGAATACATGATCTCATGGAAACTTATGATTGAAATGCCCTCTTGTGACCACACATACACACTACAGTGCAATTTTAATCAATTTATTATAGTGAGGCTGAATATTTGGATGCGTATTTATCCTGGTGAGGAAAACAATTTTTTTTCCACTGCATATGATTGGTTTTCCTCACACGTGCTACATTTATGTATAGACATTATTTTCTGCTGTTACGTATCAGAAGGAGCATTTTGTGTAGAATTCACACCGACTACACCACCCAACTTGTTCTGTAAAGAACAGATGTAATTGCAGTTTAGGTTTGTCTTGAGTCCCTTGAAGCTCTGCTTAGCATAAAAACTGCAAGACACATCACTTTGCATTTTTGCTGTTGGTGACATAAGCTGGAATGGAGAACATGTTGACTTAAATTAACATGTAATAGTGAACACTTGGTTATTCTCTCTTATTTGCTCATTGTTTACAACATTCTTACTTTCTTTAAAGGGATGGAGCAGTTTTACAACTGGAGCAAGCAAGATTGCCTCAGCTGCTAAAGAGGGTGTAAGTAACCAAAATCTCTATATATAGCATATAAAATAGATGCACAGTGAATGCAGATCTCTGCCTTAACTATTTCTTGTGTTCCTGGATGGACATTTTTGTAAATTTATCCACTGGATGTGAGCATCAAGAAAGAACTGAGCTGCCATTTTTATACTCCCTTGAGAAACAAAAATTATTTATAAAGCAGAAATTTTGGTCTATGCCGAATAAGGCCAAATTGCACTCTTCAGCAGGAATTTAATACCAAGTTACAAATTGCTGATGCTTTTATGTCCTTTCCTTCCTTTGGCTTTTCTCTAATTACGTCATTTTTTTGTCAGTTTAACTAGAAAGCTTGTTGGGCAGAGACTGTGCCTGGAGGGGGACGCTTTTGGAAAAACTGAGGCAAGGTCTTCACACTCTGCATGTTCTGCAAATCTGCAGATTTAGGTGACAGTGATACAACTAACTGTAAGCTAAAAGCAGAGGAAATAAAAATATATTACATTTTACATAGATGATGATGGAAAGAGATTAAGTATTTTTGTGAAAATAATGCATTGCAACTTTTTCAGTTTTACTTAGTATTCTTCCAAACTCTTATGGGTATAACAGTTATCTCTTACTTTGGGTGACATCATGAGAGACAAAAATATTGCTACTCCTCTTCCCTCTATTTTAAGTTGAGAAAGACCAATGCTTCCCTGGAGCCATGTGGAATGGCAGAGGTGGTGATACGGGTGTTCTCTGTTACACTGAAGTTCTGGCAGTGATCCATTCATCCTGGAGAGGATCATGCATCATTTCTAAATGCATATATTTAAAAATCAAAAGTTTTATTCCTAGTAAACTTGAATGTATTTGCTTCTTTTCACAGGCTACCAGATTTGGATCTCAAGCAAGTCAAAAGGTGATTATAGCTTTAGCTCTATCTTATTGCCTGTAATTGACTTGAAATGTCATGTGTTTGCCTGCATTGATTGATTTAAACTTAGAATCATAGAATATCTCAAGTTGGAAGGGACCCATAGGGATCATGGAGCCCAACTCCCTGCTCTTTGCAGGACTTGATCATCAACAGACCAGTGTGTTTTTCCTTCATGGTGCACAGTAATTTTTAGGTTCTAGCTTTTATTTCCACGGGAATTGCAGTCAACTGCAGTGATCAAATTAAGCAAGAAATAAACAGTGATACCCTGCTGTGTATAGCTGTCGTGTGTATTGGAGAGGCAGTAGAATGAAATGCTTTAATTCATGCTCGCAAACTTAAAATACTGTTATTTTTCTGAACCTTAAATATGGTTTACCTTGAAGTAGTTTTCTCGGTGATATACTATAATGCAAGCCATCTTTCCGTTCCTAAAGCCTAATAAGAGATTGCAAATGTGAACTGCTTAATATTAACATTAAAGTAATTTGTTTGTGTGTATTAAAAAAAGTAGCAATTACAAAAGCATTTCCTCTTTCAAGCTAAGGATAAACCAGAGACAGTCAGACCTGAATTACGCAGAGCTCTGACCTAAGCAAGCCCTGTTTGCATGGAAGAGATTTAAATTTGGATGTAAAAATGTGGTTAAAAAAGAGGTTCTTTATGTGCCAAAGTTCTGAGCGAGAGAGGGCTTACATATTTTAGTATATGATATCGAGAGTTTTACTTTGAACTATAACAACAAAAATGTCTTGTTAGAGCACCCAAACTTGATACTTAAAAGCCTTAAAGTATTTGCTGCTTGGCTTGTAAGAAAAACTTCAGTGTTCTACAGTTTTTCCTCTTTCACTCCTTCCGGCAGTTTCCCTTCTAGAAAGCTATTCTTCCTTTAGTATTATTAGCAAATGTAAATATAATATTAAGTGTAAGAACTCATCACATCTACTGACAAGGACCACAGCAACACGGTGCTCTGGAGTCTGAGCCGTGTTACTGAAGCTTCAATTTGATTCCTGCAACATCTGATCTTTTGCTCTGTAGAACAGATTTAGCATCTTTTAAATGTAATATATTCTTTAAAAGTACTTTTGGTCTCCTGTGACTGGACGTATTCACTCTTTGTCTTGTCAGTAGATGTTAAAATTGGAAAAGGTTCATGCTACTTAACTTGCTTTAAAACAATGCTGCCAAATTTTGCTAAAAGCTGCTTCTACCTTCCTTGCTCTTTCTCTTTCGCTGTCTGGGTAAAGTTTTGGGGCTACAAGCAGCAGCCGGAGCCGGTAACGCCCTCCCATATATTCTTGTGCATGGACTCCTTGTCACTGTTGGTGCTGAATATGTGCATTTGCTCTTGAGCTGTCTTTTCTCTTTTTTTTTGCCAAGTCAGGCCTGTTCAGAGTAACGTTGTGTGTTTCATACAGTAATGTTTCTTCAAACCTATTTAAAATAGGTTAAGTTGGATAGAGATATCCAAGCCCTGCGCTCTCAGAAAACATACTGTGCTTTTGTCTGTGCTCTTCATAAACAGCTGAGCTGAGGATTTGTGTTTGCATGTCTGATCCAGGAACGCAGCGTATCGGGAACTACCCTGGGATGTTGTTTGGGGGCAGACTCTGTAATAAATGTCCCGTTATGTAGTGTGTTTAATGGCTGTCTAAGATGCTATCCTAAAGTCTATGGTAAAGATGAGGAAGCGATTCAGATGGAAACACAGTGGTACCCAAATCTTTCCTTTTTGTATATAGAAAATTACATGGTTGAGTAAATGGGATAATATGAGAATTCTTCCTGATTCTAGCAGTGACTTCATTTAATGTTCCTGAACTGTTACTCTTCGTGTATTACACTCTTTATAAACATAAACAGTTTGCCAGGTTTAATAGACCCTGAAGGATTTTTTAAAGATGAAAAGTCCTCTTTCTTGGTTTTCTTAAGCACCTCCTAGCCGTGCTTCTGATGGAAACAAGCCTTATGTGATCTGCCTTCATGTTTCTTGCAAGGTGGAAATGGGGTTACCTTTTGCCTTTGCCTTCTGAAATAACCTTTGAACTGGTTACGGGGCAGAAGTACTGGAGATGAGGGTGGTTGGGTAGAGGGAGATCCTAGTGCTGCGGTGAAGGGAAGGGCCTTTTAGACATCTGGGAATCCATGGAGATTACAAAAATCTTCTGTCACAGCTTGGCCTCTTGTGTGTTTCTTAGAAATAGTTGGGCTGTTACTAATAGATGGCAATAGCGGCACTACAAGAGAGAAGAATTGGTCTAAATGTACAAGTATTTCCACTAGGAAGAAAAAATAAGAATGGATGAGGTCAGTTCTTCCAAATAATCAGCTGCAGGCATTAGCAAGGTGCCCAGCTTTGAGGCTGTTGCTGGTTGAACCATTGCTTCTGCTTCCAGTGCAGGGTCAGACTTTGCTTGGGCTCTCGACATCTCCGACAACCTATTGCCACATGCATTTATTTTTTCATTTATTTTCTTTTAATGTTTTCTGCAGCACTGTGCTGTGTGTGCTTTCCAGTTCATTCTGCTTGTATGAATCAAAGCTTAAGGCTTCACCTGTTTTTGGAGATACAGCTGAGAAATTAGCCTGCAAAAGATGTTGGCTGTGTTTGGTTTTGGTGGTTTGGTTTCTTTTTAAAAGGAAAATATAACTGACTTTCTTTTATTTTGCTTTTAAATAGGCATCAGAGTTAGGTCAGACATTAAATGAAAATGTTCTCAAACCTGCACAGGAAAAGGTAACTTTGGAACTAGTGAATTATTTGCAGAACATGGTTATGCTGCTTTAGGAAGTGATTGTTTCCTTCTGCCCCAACTGCCCAGTTTGCCAGTGCATCCTTCTGATTTTCATGCTACCTGCACAGTAGCAAATGGGAAACATCAAATAATTCAAAGCTAGTATCCTACCAAAGAAAGGTTAATTAACATAATTTCCCTTCATCAGTCTTTCCCTCCAACCAATCTGTTACATTCTTCCCTGTTAAATACTATTTTATAAATTTCATGCCTTCAGTCATGGAAGGTGGGACAAGATGAAAATACACCCTAAATGGATATAAAAGTCAGTTATTAAAAACCCCACACCCTATTAGTAGTATCTTTGAATTTTAAGTTCACAGTGTTTTATCCATCTGCCTGCCAGCAATGGTTTAGTTCAGCTGAGCATCTTTGAGCCACTTTAATTCACTTGCTCCTTCATCGAGGGCAGTAGAATTTGGGGCAAATTATATGTTTAAGATGAACGGGGACAATTTATCAATAGGACTAACATGTTCTTGCAACCTTTATTTGGTGTTTGTTCTGAATATGCTGGTAGGCAGCTAAAACCAAGTCTTGCATTGTGTTCTGTGCAAAGCTTGGTCTGAAGTAAGGTTTTGATGAGCTGTTCTAGTTCCTGTGGTGTTTCTAGGAAACTGGTTTGAAGCAGGTTTTTATCTTCCCCTTACAACTGTTAGTGACCAAAACCGTGTGGCTGATGGCACTTCCAACACCAGCTGGAGGAAAGCACACATGGTCACCTGAGCAAATACAGTCACTAATGGGCATAGAAAAAAAAAGCAAAGCTGTTCTCCTGAGTGACCAGTGATCACTGATAATGACAGATTTTAGCCAAGGGTTCTCCCCAGTGTAACATGTTGCCTTCCTGTTTCATGTGCTTAAAAAAACACGTACACCTTTCCTGTGTGTTTGTTTGGTGCTTCTGGAATTTTGGATAAGCTCCAAAATTTTGATGAAGTCTTTTCTGAGAATGTGGTGCTCTACTTACATATTGGGGGAAGGACCCGAGGTATTGGTTTTGATAAAGCAGACTAATTTTGCTCTTGAGAGAGAAGCAGTGCTGCCACTTTGGGATATGGATTAATTTTCAGTTTGAAAAGGATGGTTTAATCACACTGCAAAATAATTTCTCTTGCACTATATTAATTCAATGTTCTTTACGTAGCATTTCAAACCACAGGAGAAGACTCTAATTGATTTCCTAGTCCCTAGAATTATCCACAACTTATTTTGGAGTGCTTAGATGCAGTATTTTCAGGGTTATTTTAAGAGTTCATTTCGTTGAGCTGATTTTTATTTTGTAGGACAATTTAATGAGGAATGTTGCATTTTATATTAAAAGAAGAAAGATTTATGTCCTTTAGGATGTTGGGCTGTTAGTTCTAAATAAGTGTTACTTTCTGAAATAAGTATTGAGTGATCACTGCCTGGCACCTATATGGTTCTATAAAGTCATTTGCTTTGGAACAGCTGCCACTTATTAATTGGTTAAAGACAGCAATTGTGTTCTGGTTGACCAAAGTTCAAAACCCTTTTAATATTGAAGTAAGCATGTATAAAATACAGACAATAAAATGGATCTGATAGATTTTATTTTTTTTAATCTCTCCAAAAATAATTTTTTTATCTAGTAACATATATTTATCAAATGTCATGGTTTGATGCTCATTATTAGTGTAATGATACCTTCCTCAAACTGTATGTATATCAGTAGAAAATGCCCACAAACTTCCAAGGACTGAGGTTCACTCCATTAGAGAACAATAGGTCATTTGCTTAGATTTGCTAGCTTTGATTTAAGTATATTTTGATTCACTTTGAGTTTGTTTTTTTTTACACTTTCTATTTTTAGCTGTTAAGCCCAAGTAAGCTTGTCTTAAGGTTTCAATACTACTTTGGTTTGTAACTAATTACCAATACTTTGATTCACGTAGGTGAAAGAGGGAAAAATATTTGAGGAGGTCACCACGGGGGTGTCACAGTGGGCCAGCAAGGTATGAAGTGGCCTCCCTGCCTTTAAGGAGGCCAAACAGCAAGTCAGTCTCCATATTCTTATCAAAAGCTTGTAGTGAAACAAAACCACAACTTGGCTTTAGTCACTGCTTGTGTTGAATACAGAAATTTTGGAAGTGGAATTTTCAGTACGTGGTACTTCTGTTGAGGTGTTAAAAGGTGTGTTGTAACAGTTCTAACCAAGGGCATGATGTAGATTTATAAGACAACTGGTGTCCTAAACGCAAAAAGAAAACGTTAGAGAATATGGAGACAGCTTGCATTACATTTTTTTCAGTTAAACTTACTAATGTTCTGTACTTTTTTTCTTTGTTTTTTGCTATCATTGCTTGGTCGTGTGGTAAGTGCTCTCCACAAGTGCTAAGCTCAGAAGTCCTGCACAATCTAATACCTCTTCTGATAACTTGTAAGGTGTTACCTGGGAGGGGTCTGTCTTTCTAGCACTGTGAAAGTCAGCACTGGATTGACTTGTCATGTACGAGCTTGGTGCCTTAATTGTTGGGAATATCTGAATAAAATAAGTGATGTTACCTGTTCTGTTTAGAGCCTGGCAACTTTCAGTCTGAATTCTGGGATCCATCCTCTGTATCTGTGACACAGAATAGTGCTTCCATGGGTCTCACTTCAGAACTTGTGTTTCTAATCCAATGCCAGGCCATTGTAACAACCCCAAAGGATTCTCCTGGCAGTCACATTTATTCTGGAACTCAACTTTTGGCCTCTTTTATATGGGCAATGATGAAATGGGGCGAAAGTAGATTTTTAAAACAGTGTAAATATAAATACTAATTACATAAATTGTAACATCAAAACATCAGCGCTGCCATTAAGTTTAGTTTTATGTAAGGAGTAATTCCAGCATTTTTGTCAAGAAAATCTAAAAGAGGATTCAAAAGCTGTTATTGGCAATGATGAGTGAAAAAGCTGAACTTGACCTACTTTTCACATGTTCCAGCAGCACGATGCTGTCAAATTTATGGTCTTCATATCAACCATGCAACTGCCCACCAAAAATATTAATAGTTGTGAGTGAACTTTTCTGATTAAATGTGTTCTCTTTATCTGAGCAAGTGGAGGAATGTGTTGTGGCTGTTGCTGTTGGACTTGGACCAGGTGTTGGATCAGTCTGGATGAATGGAGTGTCATTTTCCTCTCTAGGTTCAGGGAGTTGGAAGTAAGGGATGGCGAGACGTCACCACTTTCTTTTCTGGCAAACCAGATGATAATTCTGAAAGGTATTTTTTTATTTATTGTTATTTTCTATGTGTCTTTAAACCCATAATTTTGTGTCCTCTGCAGTATAGTAGTAGCAGGTAATTTTTAAATATGAAGAAATTACTCTGTCTTAGCTAGTAGTCCTCCTGTTTGTAACACAGGAGGAATTCAATCTAACTGTTTATGCCAATTCAGTTGTCGTGTTAATTTGTGCTAGGCTGAGAGCAAACTAGTGCACCGTGGTTTTAATTTTTTTCCAAATGTGTTATCTGCCCCATCCCGTA